AAATCTTATTTTTTATATTAAAATACACGTCTTATAAAGATAAATAAAATATACAAAAATAAAAATATAATTCAAGGTAACGATGTTAGTATTTAAAAAGCTCCTTGATTAAGATTCAAATTGTTCGAGCTTGTTAAAAAACAAAATTTACGATAATAAAATTAAATGGATGATCCGGTTAGTGTCAATTTATGCATTTATGTATAAACGTGTAATAAAAGTCTAATGTAAGTAAAGCATGATATTTTGTTAGGGAACATTTAGTTCTTTTCCTGGCACAATTTCAAAATAAATTCTAGTGTCATTTCCAAAAGTATACTTCAATAATTTCCTAGTTAAATGTTGCGTCCAGAAAATCGTGAAACACTTCTCGTTTAATCGGATTTCCTGCGGAAACACACAAACACACACACACACATATTACGCAATCGTATCTCATATTATTCTCCTGATTTCAAAATGTAATTTTATTCAGGATAAATATCATTTTTCAAATCGTTAACAATACATTAAAACGAGTCAATGTAAAAGGAAACAAAAAAATTGTAAAATTAAAACAATATGTAATTCCATAATTTAATTCTAATGCAAAATTTTCTTATATATCACACACGGAAATATTATAAATTTTATGATTAAAAACAAAAGAAAAATATTCCGCGTGTTAGAATACTTCTCCCGTTAATTCACTTGAAGAATTAAATAAATCGTTCAAAAGATAATCTTAACGATAAAGAAAATTGAAAAACTTCGAACGTGTGAGTATGCGTGTGCGTGTGGGATGATGTGTGGCACGTACGAAACAGTCGTTTTGAACTATTATATTAAAAAAAGAAAAAAAAAACAGATAAATACTCGTGAGAACAATTTTTATTAGAACACGCGATAACGTTTTTTTATTCTTCTTCTTTCATTCTTTATTAAAGAAAAATAGAGAAAGAGAGGAAGAGAAAGAAATAAACTTCTCTCGATCACATTGAAAGTTTCTCGAAGCTACGTGACGATCAAACTTTATTGTACGAAAGCACGATGAGTACTAACCAGAGTTATCTAGTAAGAAACTAGATGAAGAAGAGTTACTGTAATATGAATAAAGGATATTAAATGGATGGATGGATGGTTGGTTGGTTGGTTGGTTGGTTGGTTTGTTAGTTGGTTGGTTGGATAGATGAAAGAAATAAAGAAAGAAATAAATACATATATATGTATAGATAAATAGATAAAACGAGATAAACGAGAAAGGGGGGTTGGTGGAGGAAGGGAGAGAAAATGTTAAGGAAGGGGGTGGGAAGGGGGAAGTAGTCGAGATGATGTTCTTACGCATATAGATATAACCGATAAACGATAACTCAGCTACTGAACACGTGGGTAATGCATTTATCCGACATACACACTATTGCATACACATTGCAACTGATCTAATCCACACAGCTGTTATCGATTGTTTAATCGATAGTGTTAATTATAGCCAAGAAAATATGTATATATATATATGTATATGGTTTGATAGTAGTGGTATGGTAAATATAAGGAAAACTTATCAGGAGTTACTATGTATTATCGTTGAAAAAAAAAAGAAAGAAATGTATAATTAATTTAATTGATTAGGTATTATTATCTTATGAAATATCTACAAACGTGTTTTTCAACAAAAAATAATTAATAAGTAATATTATGTGAAGAACGCAATTTGTTCATACTGATCGGTATAAATTATTTTATGAATTAATCATAAACACATTATGTTATTATTTAAATGAATAATATTTAAATTTCAACGATATATATATATATATATATAATATAA